TCTCACTCATTATCATCATAGCTTACTATGTGGTACTCAAGTCTTTCCATAATTCTCTGTGGGACTTCTACTCAGTTCCCTATATAATCACGGGAAAGTTCATTCTCTCGAGTTTTGATTTGCCTTGGTATTAGTAGGAGTAGGAATGGGAAACTAGCTGGGACCCCTATGTGGCAAGGCCTAAGGCATAGTAAGGAGACATGTTGCTGTGTTGCACAGCTTGTAGGCCTGTGAAAGGAGCCCCGCGCTGGACTGCTCTACCCACTCCAGCCAAGGATTTGCTGCTGCAGGTGGGTGAGGAGGATGTGCCCATCAAGATCAGGAAATCCAAGAAACAGTTGAAACCACTGGTGGAGGATGTGACTTGGGAGCTGGTGGTCCTGCGGAGGATGCTGCAGGAGTGGAAGACTGCCTGGGGACTGAGTGAGTGGAGAGGCATAGGTCTCACCTTGGACTAATGCTACTTTCTCTCTCTTAAATCCATCACTCTCTTGTAAAATGTAAAATCCTGGTTGCCTCATTAAGATTAGACTAGATAAGAACCTTTCATACAGTGGGTGTTAGGTGAATCTTAGTTACATCTATCTGGATTTTTTTGCATGGGCCAGCCTTCAGTAATTTGTAGAAATTCACTGCACTGAGATATTTTCATAGGCAGGGACCATGTCTTACTGATTTCTGAAACTTTACAAAATATTTGCTGCATAAAGAGAAAGACAAAATATGCTACCCAAACATTTGGACATGTAAAGATCAAAAGAAAGTTGACTGATGCAGAGTCAGGGTTATCATGTAGCTACTTTTCTCCAAAGATACCCAAGTAGAAGATTGAGTGTTTGGGAGTAGGTAATGGCCTAGAAGGGATTTTAGAAGTATTTGAGAACTCAAATACTGCTGGCTTTCAGAACATGAGAGATTAGTTTAGTGCAGGAGAGTTGATTCACTAGGTAAGGAGGATCAGAAAACAAAACAAAAAAAAGAGATTCTGAGTAAAAGATACAAGCAGAGAATGCCTACAGATAGTAGGAGCACTGTAACACAAGTATCATACCTTCAAAGAGAGCAGTTAGCAATTTCAGTACAATGAGGGAGCTGTTGAAAGCCAGAATGAAGAACATTCAAATGCAAGGAAATTGGATGACAATAACCAACCTTTGGGCTGGGGATTTAGCTCAGTGGTAGAGCACTTGCCTAACATGTACAAAGCCCTGGTTTTGATCCCTAGTACTAAAACAAAATTAATATTTACTGACCCCTCATTATCTTGTCAGACATTTTGCTAAACGTTTTGTCAAGTTAAGGATTTAATTCTCAACGTAACTCAATATAATGGGTTCTAGTGTTATTCCTGTACTACAAATGAGAAATCTCAGAAAGGTCTTATCCAAGGTCACATAGCTAATAACTGTTTCCAAATCATGCATCTCTGCCAACAAAGTACTCTCAGCCACTATGGGGATGTATGCTTGCTTGTTTGTTGGTTGGTTGGTTTTTGAGATGGAGTTTCATTATGTTGCCCAGGCTGGTCTTGAACTCACGGGCTCAGTCTTTCATGTATCTAGGACTTCAGGCATGTGCCACCCTGACCAGTCAATCACTATGCTTTATTGCTTCCTTTATTTTCCAGATGGTTAAAATGAAAAGTTAGTTAAAGCCAGGCATGGTGGTTCACACCTGTAATCTAGCACTGAGACAGGAGAATAACAAGTTTGAGGTCTGTTTGGGCTCACATAGGCAAGTTCCTGATCGGCCTGGGCTACAAAGTGAGTCCCTTTAATAAAAAACAAAAATGAAAACAAAAAAAAGTTATTTAAACCAAAAGTGTAAGTATAAAATTGAATTGGGGGACCTACCTGAGAGGTATTGTGGATCATCAGAGAAATAACTTCCATAGGGAGCCATCTCTGAATTTTCTAATCTTCTAAACTAATGTTTTGCTTGAACCGTCCTGGGAAAAAGGCACTTCTTGTTCTCTTCCAGTAGCACAATATCTAAACCTAATCAGGTGGTTCCTTTCTCATTCCTGTCACTGTGACACAGTCATTGAGTGGCACCATGAGACGGTGGAGAGCCTGCTGCGAGGCTTAGAAGACATGTATGATCACATTCGGATCCAAGCCATCATCACATGTGCCACAGCTGCTCTGGAATGGCCCCGGGTTGCAACCAGCCCAAGGGACTCAGGTGAGAGCTAGGGCTGAACTGCTTGAAAATGTCCAGAATTCGTAAAAGCCACGGAACATCTGAACTGGTTGGGACTTAACATATACTAATGTATATGTGGACTTTTAAATTTATTACAAAATGAATATTTTATTGAGCAGGCTATAGTTTTTTTCCTTTAACCTGTGAATCTGATAAATTCTGTTGTTGAATTCTTGGAATAGAAGCAGGAGGATTGCAAGTTTGAGCCTAATCTGGTCAACTTAATGATTTAGCAGTATTGTCTCAGAATTTTAAATAGAGGGCTAGGGATTTAGCTCAATGGCACTGTGCCTGCCTCACAAGTGCAAGGTCCTGAGTTCCATCCTCAGTACTGGAAAAAAAATTTTTTTTTAAATAGCAAAAAGGACTAGGTTCAATCCCTAGTACTGTACGCCCACACATCCAAACACACACTCACACACAGACACAAACACACGATTCTTAGAATAAACACTGCTGAATTGTGATTATATTATTTTCTTCCTGGGTTTAAAACTTTAGAATTTCTTGTTACATAAGTGAATTTGGTAGTCTTGTTTTTATTTATACTAGTTTGTTAAGTTTTAGAGTGTTTCTACTCTAAGACAAAAACTTCGTAAAATAAATGAAGGACCTTTTCATTTTTTCCCAATTCTAAGTCTGTAGTCTTTTTGGAAAAAAGAAACATCAATAGTTTTTCTCTTAAATACCTGTAGCAGTAGCAGTTAAAAAGAAAATTTCTTATCTACTAGTGCCAAAACTGTAACCCCCTGGGAGGAGGAACTGAAGACACAGGTCTCATATGATGGCGTGTTGAAAAAGCATCCCTACCTGTTCTGCAAGTGCCCTCTCGGATTCCTCCTTTTATATAAAACCTGAGTTGATCTGCCCCCTCTCTGCTGCTCGTTACATCTAGGCTGATTTCCGTGCTCCTACTTCTCTAGTTGTGTACCTTTCTCTAACCCTATCAGGGAAGGAACTTCTTAAAGGCAGGGAAGACTTTTACCTCCACTAAGTTGTCACGTTGTTATTTTTGAAGGAGGAAAGTTTTATTTGGCTTACAATGTATAGAGGTTTCAGTCCATAATCAGCTGGCTTCAAGACAGGGTGGCAGCGGGACAACAGTTCATGGAGGACAGACAGTAGCAAAGCAATAAGATTAGTTGTCAGCTGTTTAGTTTTATTTCATTTATTTCTTGTTTATTTGGTTCCAGATATGGACATTTTCCCTCCTAAATATTGTTAATTAGAAAAGAAATATAAAATGTTATTGTTAATCAACAGAAGAATTTCAAGAGGTAAAAACCTTAACCACCCACTTTCCAACCCTACTCCATTCCACAGTCACTCCTCAGGTTAACTGTTTGGTTTTCAAATTTGCTGTTCTCTCTGCTGGAATATGTATCCTCACCTGCTAAACTCCACTTGCCCTTCAAGTTTTAGCTAAGATGTCACTTTTGAGCTTTCCCTGCCCCACCATCTAGACTTGGCTCATTGTCCCTGCCACGTGCTTCCATTCATGTACATTTTTGTTATATGTGCTTATTTCCTTGGTTATTAAACAGGACAAGGTATTTTCAGTGGCCAACACAGAGAGAAAACCTCCTATGGGTGGCAGTAGATATTATATCCTAATACCTGAATCTTCCACAAACGTCCTATTTAAGGATGGGGATAGGTTCTGAGGGATGTCTTTACACAGTTTCATTATATTGTGCAGGCATTATGGAGTGATAACGTACACAAAAGCATCTACCACATAAGGAAAGTTGGGGTTTTTTTGTTTTGTTTTGTTTTATTTTGGCACCAGAGATTGAACTCAGGACCTTGCACTTGCCAGACAGATACAGTGCCACTGAGCTACATCCCTGGCCCAAGGAAAGATTATCTTATTGGGACTACCATCATATATGTGGTCTGTTGTTGACAAAAACGTCATTTTATGTGGCCATGACTGCAGAAAGAACATCTGTGTCTTGCTCAGAAATATGCCTTCTGTGTGATCCTTTTCACATGTGCTGGGTGTCTAGATTTTGATTTTTTTTTTTTGTAACTTCCCCCAAGAAAATTACCTTATTTTAAAAACACAGTTGACTTGTTACATCTCTTTGCCTGAAATACATATATCTCCATCTACAGGGTTAGTATCACTTATCTCAAATGCTTGGGATCTGAATTTTTGGGGATTTTTTTTTTCAGATCTAGGAATATTTGAATATACATTGTGAGATAACTTGAGGACGGGACCCAAGTCTAAACATTAAATTCATTTTTCTCTTATATGTACCTTACATGCAGAGCCTGAAGGTAGTGTTTTGTATTTTTATTTTAGTTCAACATTATCAAAATCTATTTTGTTAGTGTGTAAAACTAAGATGTTATTTACACAAAAGTACATTATAAACAAAGGTGAATACTTCTGCCAGTTATTCTGTCTGGGAAAGCAAACGATCTGCATAACAACATTGAACTGTGTCACCAGAACTGCTCTGGAAACGTGATTAGGTTGTACAGAGACATCACACAACTCCAAAAGCACCTAGAACAGCCAAAGGTGGTTCCACGGACCTGAAAAGTCTTTCAGACATAATCTCTGGACACTGAGGCTAGGAACTGGTTCTGAGCTGCTGACTTTCTGCTCTGCCTTCAGGCATGTCAGCTCCAAGAACACCAACTGGGTCCTTGCGAGTGGAAGACGTGCCATAACCAGGTCAGAAACCGCCCAAAGCAAGCCAGCTAAATCGGAAAGGGGGCTGCCCGTTTCCTCCCCGCCAGCCCCAGCGGGCACCCTGTTACATTCTTGTCACGCAGGCAGCGGAAGTTCTAGGCTTTTCTGAACGATCCAACATCTGCCTCAACCACCGGCCGCCTCGCTGTCCTCTCAGCACAAGTCGACAGGCCTGTAGCAGAAGCGGAGGGGCAGCACTTTCCACCTGCAAGGCCTCACCATGCAGCGGGAAGGGTTGGCTTTGCGGGAGGAAAACTGAAGGGGGCAGTCGAGATCTTCCTCCTCCTCCTCCTCCCCCTCGGCGCAAAGCTGGGCCCGAGCCTGGCCACTAGTGGGTGGACGCAGATTTCACGACGCCCAGCCACAGAGCCTCAGCACCCAGAGGGCCCTGCCGCGGGGGGAGCTCGACTCCATAGTGGGTGCAACGCAGCGCGTCACTTCTGTCGCACAGAACTGGAAACCGGAAGTCGTGCCCGACCTCTGCTGAGGACTACAGAATGCGACCCTTGTTTTATTTTTACTTTATTATAATATATATTTTTTGGTTTTTTTGAGACAGGGTCTCACTGTGTAGTTGAGACTGACCTGGAACTCACTACGTAGCCCAGGGGTCTCGAACTTATATATATTTTTTGGTTTTTTTGAGACAGGGTCTCACTGTGTAGTTGAGACTGACCTGGAACTCACTACGTAGCCCAGGGTGGTCTCGAACTCAGAGCGATCCTCCTGTCTCAGCCTCCCGAGTGCTGGGATTACAGGTGTGCGCACCACACCCGGCTTCTATCCTAGTTTTATATAGTTTTGTTTTGCTTTGTTTTGTTAGTATGCCTGAATTTTGACTGAAACATCACACGAGGTCATGTGTAGAATTTTTCTGCTTGTGGTATCATGTCAGTGTTCAAAGTTTCGGTTTTTGGAGCATTTTGGATTTGGGCATCAAGGGTGCCCAATTCACATGTAATCTGTTCTTAACAGGTACTATATTGACCCATTGCATTAGTAAAAACAAATGACTATAAATCACAAGTCTTGAGTCATAGACCTAACTCTGCCCCTCCATGAGAAGTCAGTTAACTTTTCTGAGCTTCAACTTTTTTATCTACTTATGGACAAAGTGGGGTAACAAACCTTTCCCCCTTCTACTTGAGAATCTGAGATTCAGATATATGCCCACCTGCTGAGAGGGGAGGGAGAAGGAGAAGGGAGGAGGAGGGGAGGATGACTGCTTATGAACTTTGGTTGATAATTAACTGAGAATGAGAAATTAACAGGACCGAGAAAAACTAAATGAGTCTTGCATGGTGGCCCACTCCGTAGGCTGGGGCAAGAGAAGCCTAAGCTACAAAGTAAATTTGAGGCCATTCTGGACTAAATAGGGAGACTCCCTCTCCAAACGCCCCCATCCTGAAACTATAAATGAAATATAAATGTCTAATACAAACATCATACTTGGGCCTCCCTGAATGCTGTAACTTATCACAAGTATGTACTTTGTGGACTCTAGAACTACATCTGCTGTATGGAGTTAGAAGGGATACTACTGCTGGTGAAGGGTCAGTTCACCCAGATTGAGTTCCATGCACCCGAGCTGTCCCCAGAACACGATGGAATGCTACACAGCCTCAAGAACTCCAGCTAAAAGGAATTCCTGATATTGCTTCCCTACTGACAGACTGCTCTCATATCCTTCTAGTGCTATGTGTGGGCTCTGCTAGTCTTGTGACTCTGAATGTTTATAGTTAAACTTGCAAGACTCCCCGTTAAATTCTGCAGTGAACCTTACCTTGCTTAATTCAACCAGAGTTGAAAGACTGAAACAATGTGAAAATACTGTATAGGCCGGGTGTGGTGGAACACGCCTGTGGTGAGGCTGAGGCAGGAGGCCAGCCTATACTACAGAGCAAGACCCTGTCTCAAAAACAAAAACCTATAAACAAATGGCAGCCAGCCTGATGGTGCATCCCTGAAATCCCAGCACTCTTGGGAAGCTGAGGCAGGGAGATCACAGGTTTGAGCCTGGCCCTGGCAACGTAAACCCTGTCTGTGAATGAATGAATAAATAAATGCCAACACATGCTTCACACTTGAGCATAAAATCCTGGTAGGTGTAGGGGATAGCTGATCTGTGATTACATTAAGTAGCAGTAGCTACCTGGCAAAAGGCTAGGACTCTGACCTGGCTCTTTTTGATCACAGACCAGGAGGCTGTGAAGCCCCCACTTGTCCAAGACTTGCCTGAGGCTCTACAGCCTTCTCTGGAGGCTGCTCTTTGTGACAAGAATGTCAATGTGAGGATGGCAGCAGCACTATGCCAATATGCCACACAGTCACATAACCCCCTTGCCCGGGACATCATGGAGACAGCCCTTGAGAAGGGTGAGTAACTTCATTACTGCTGACCTGGGAATGTGGGAGGGAGGGAATCTCACCATCAGCTTTCGTAGTCTTCCCCTCCACTTATACTCTGTGATGTCTGCTACCTCAGGTTTAAATTCATGTCAGAAACCAGTACTTCCTAGGTACTTTTATAAAACTAAGCTTTTCATAGAGGCATTTGATTAAAAACTGCCCTAAACTGGATGGACCTGGGAGACATTATGTTAAGTGAAATAAGCCTGACTCAGGAAAATGAAGCACCCCATGTTCTCTGAGCCAACCTGCATGTGGGATAATTATTACTAGAGGCTGGGAAGTAGGGGGGAAAGGGAGTAGAAGGTGACTAAAGGGAGAGTGGATTTGATCATTGCATGCTATATGTATGTAGTGAAATAGCACACTAAACTCCATGAATGTGTACTATTATTACATGAATGGCCTTTTATATACAACTCAATTTTCTTTACTGAAAAGATATAACAGTATCAAATACATCTTTAAAATTTAAAAAAATCACATGAGCACATCTTGCTTCCATTTGGTACCGTAATATCCAAGGATCATTCACATGGGTTGTTGGAGTTATTTGATCAAAATGGCTCCAGCCAGGTGTGGTGATGCACACCTATAATCCCAGCACTTGGGAGGCTGATGCAGGGGGATTGTTGCAAGTTCAAGACCATCCTGTATCGTAAGACTCTGTCTCAAACAAAATAAAACATGGCTTTGTCAGGTGATGGGCCAAAAGTGCTGACTGTTCTCTCCATTTAAAGTAAGCATCAGCATTCTGGACTCATTTTTTTACCCTACGATGGCAGGTAATAGTGCAGACAGCTGGGCTGCAGCTCAGTGCTTGGCCGTTGAAGGTAATGCCTCTTATCCAGTGATTAAGAGGATTCTCCATCAGCTGTTTAACAAGAAGAATGAGGACACCGAGAACCAGTCTTGTATCCTCCTGCGCCATCTCAGTGGAAAGACGGTATGTGCCTCTTCTGGGTTAAAGAGGAAACTAAGTTTTGGGAAATAATTGATCTTTGTGACCAGTGCATGGTGGCTGGGTAGGATAATCTCAAGCATAGGTAAAAGTGCACCAAGTGTGGGTAAACATGGGCATGGAAGTATATACAGGGAGACTTGACAACAGCTAGCTAAGAAAAGTGGGTTGCAAAGTAGATTTCTAACTATACAAGAATTGTGACAGCTGAAAGAGGTTTACCACTGAAAACCACACAGACCTATAATTATGTTCAGTTTCTTCCCTATGAAATAGGAAACAATGATTGGAGCATAAGTAAATCATCTTTGGGTAAAAATAAAGTCAGGAAGGTTGTTTTATTAAATCCATAGTTTCTTCCCTGGTGTATGATACCAGTCAGGTGGCTTGGATGGCGGAGTGCCCATCTCTTGTGAACTCACTGTCCTTTATTAGGGATGGCTATCTCATGCTCTTGGGACATTAATTATGCTGGGTGCCATTTATGACATAACTTCTTCAAGATTCCAGTATCTCTATAAGTAATCGAGACTGCTGGTAAAAGTTCTTCCATTTCCTCAGACCCTGATACACACCATGCTTGCTGTGGAACTGAACAGCCATCAGTGGAAGGACCGGACTGTGGCCTGCCGGGCTTTCTCCAGGATCAGTGGAAATGTCTGTTTAGTAAGCTTTCTTTCTTTGCTTCCAGAACAGAAAAGCTAAAGTAAGGCTGGGCCGTAAGGAACCTTTCTGCTTTTTTCTATTATATAGTATCTCACTCTTAGCATAGAATTCTATCCTCACATTGCTATCTCTTATAGCAAACTATCTTCAAATGTCAGCACATCCAGTGCTTCTCAGTATGGTAGCAGTCCACAAGCTGTAACGAAGCCACAACAAAACAAACACAAAAACTAAGAGAAAGAGTTTAGGAGCTTAAATTATTTGACACTGCTTTAATATCAATAGGTTTTATAAAAGTATCAGTCAATGACATATTTTCACCCCACTCCAGCCCTAAAATTGGTCTTTCAGAGTTTAAGAAGATTTAAAGAGAAAAAAAAAAGCTTAAAGACCCAACCCAACTCAACAAGTGCCTGTGCTGGTTCTCCGAGTGGTCAACACACGTGTGAAAACATAGTTCCAGAGCCAGGCATGTTGGAACACGCCTGCAATCCCAGAACTCAGGAGGCTGAGGCAGTAGGATCACTGAAAGTTCAAGGCCAGCCTGGGCTACATAGTGAGTTCAAGGCCAGCCTGAACTATATAGTGAGACCCTATCTCAAAAAACAACAAACAAACCGTAAACTAAAACAGTTCCAGCCAGGCAGATAAGTCCTGGGCCACAGCATAAGCATTATCTTTGAGGGATGTGAAATCTCACTTTTGGCCAACCCAATCAGAATTTGCATTTACACACCTTTAATATCTGAATCATCACTCATTCACCTTCTTGACACTTATCACTCAGGATTACTAATTCAAAGTAAGCAGACATGCAGAGGTAGCAGAGAACAGGGTAAAGATGAGGACTTCAGAGCAGGATGCTGGAATTAGGGGAGGCGGTGTGTCTATGGATTGTTTCATTCATTTAGTAAGCAGTTTTTTGCTTTTTTAAGAGTCAGTGGTGGCTGGGGATTTAGCTCAGTGGTGCCACCGCCAGCCTTGCAAGCACAAGGTCCTGAGTTCGATCCCCAGTACTAAAAACAAACAAACAAAAAACCTCTAGACTTTGCGCTTGTGAGGCTGGCAGCGGCACCACTGAGCTAAATCCATGGCTCTCGTAAGCAGTTTCTGCCCCATCCTACATTGCTAAGCATTATGCTAGCATCGGGGGAGCCCAGATATTATTTTCCCTTGGTAAATGTTATACATAACTTAAACAGAAGCAGCTATAAGACGCGGAGACTTCCTATGGTTCCATGGGGCAGAGGGAGCTTCACTAAGGACAAGCATTTTGAGTTAAATCCTATAGAATAGAAAAATAATGGTTACCATGTAGAGTGGAGGAGAGATGTTTCAGGCAGGGAGAATAGCTTGGCCACATTTGTATCATACTATTTATCCCTTCCCCTCTAAGAGAAAAGACTGACAGGGTGACCAATGTCCTGGTTTGTCCAGAACAGTGGTGGCCAGCTTATGGCATGCATGTTGTTTTCTTTTAAGACAAAAGATGTTAATGTATGAGTTATGTTTTTCTAAACTAAAACCTTAGGATTCAGGTTTAAGTGCCGTGTTGGCACTTTGTGATAAATAAGTGGGTTCTGGGTTGCAGTTTGGGTGCTCATCTCTAAATGTTCATGATCACGGGTCCAGAGCATTCAGTACTAAAATCAGCCAAGACCTAGGCAAATCAGGATGTACTGTTCACCCTGTTATGTATCACTTTCAAATTTTAAGTCTCTTTTATAGACTATGTTGACCATGATGCTATACAGTAGTTTAAAGGATAAGCCTAGGAAACAATTGGATTTGAATCATGTTTCTAGCCACTCACCAGGTTAACACTGGGCAACTGAATCAATCCTCTATGTGTCATCTATGACTGGTAATAACATCTGCCCCGCTGGTTTGGGGGACTAAAGAATATGTTAAAAATACCTAGCACAATGCCAAGTAGAACATTAGCATTCAATAAACGATAGCCATTATTACACCTATTTACAGGATATGAAACACAAGTTGATCCAGCTAATGTGGAATGACTGGAATAAAGAAGTGAGGCAAGCAGCTGCCCGTGCACTGGGGCAAATGAGCCTTGGGAAAGAGGTGCATGATGCAATTAGGTAAGACCTAGTCAACATGAGAGAAACTTCTGTTCTTAGAAGCAGTTAGTGGGCCTGGGATCTGGCCAGCTGGCATTTATTGATCAGTACTGTACTAGGTCCCAGTATAAAAAGTTCAGTTCCTATAGAAACTAACATTAAGGCTAGGGAAAGCAGCATTCACTAAGTCCACTTTTGTCGGGGTGATGCTTTGGGCATCTGAGGGAGTTTGAAAAATACAACCGTTATAATGAGCAACACAAGCAAGATACACAAGGCCTAAATAAAAATACCAAATTGTATTACAAGCAAATGATATAAATCATATCTGCTATAGGGAAAATGGAATATTCAGTGTGGGCTACAGAAGTAGGGTCAAGTTCCACAGAGGATGGATAAGACAGCACTGTCATTCTAGGCTGGAAGCCAAAAGCCAATTGACCTTCACACATGTAAAAGCAATGGAGAGAACTTGACTGACATAGGGGGTGCAAGATACTTTCCTTTATCTAGTCATTCAACACAATAGAGGGGCTAGCATATGTTGATAGTAATTCAACACAGCTGAGGTTTTTGCCCAGGGAACCTTACTTTAATGGGCCTAAGGCTGAATAGGAAATGGTGATGCTGGATTTTGTCCTGAGGGTACTGGAGGATAGGCAGTAGGCAATGAAAGTTTGAGGAGGCAAAAATAAAGGCAATTTGTGTTTCACAGGGTTAAGCTGGTTGAAGGAAATGCCCAAGAGCGCGTGAAAGCGCTCTCCCTGATAGGTGGGCTCAAGCTCATGACTGCCAAGCTTCTCCCAGGCTTCCTGCAGTGCTTCTCTGATGAGTTTGTAGCAGTTCGGCAGGCAGCCTGTTTGGCAGCAGGTGCCCTGCAGATCCGCAACAAGATGGTGAGTCAGGGAAAAATGATCACATCTTACCTGAATGACCAGAAGAGGGCATTACCTTCCCTTGTTGTGCATACACACTGTTCTGTGAGGACACAGAATGAGAGATCAGAACCAGGAAGGTGATGCGTATATAAGCCACACTAGTCAGTACTGACCACTTAGCTCCCAGCTCCCCAGACTTCAAGACAGAACATACCTCTGAATCTTCTTCTCACCTGTTTGCTTCCTTACTAGAATGCTGATAGGCATTAGATCAATTCCAGTGAGTGGAGCTTCACACATAGTTATTAGAGAAAATGTGACTGAGGTGTTTAAAAGAAGTCTGAGACTGGGGGTGTAGCTCACCTTAGCAGGCAGAAGGCCTTGAGTTCAATCCCTATCCGCACCGCCCCCAAACACACACACAAAAAAGAAGTCTGTATGGCCACAGAACTGTGGGCTGAGAAATCCAGAGGGCAGATAATTCCACTAACCTGTTGTGTATGTTAGTAGTTAAGGTGCCAGCTCATGTGTCACTAGTCAACAGGTTACTTTTCAATTCTAGCACCATTTAGACACATAGTATCCCCGTTTCTAATTCATTCTTGTTCTGGTTCTGTTCATTCAACAGTGACCTTTTATCTATTTATCCCAGGTGCTTGAATGCCTTCTGAATCTGATGCAGACAGATCCTTTTTGGAAAATCAAAGCTTTTGCCATTCGAGGTATTAGTTTAATTTTTTTTTTTTTTTTTTTTTGGTACCAGGGATCGACCAAACTCAGGACCGTGAGGTGGCAGAACCAATGAGCTAAATCCCCAGCCCTTTTTTTTTTTTTTTGAGACAGTGTTTCACTATGTAGTTCAGGCTGGTTCTGAACTGTGTTGGCCTTGAACTCACAGCAGCCTTCCTGCCACAGCCTCCTGAGGGCTGGGGTTACAGGCATGTACCACCTTATCCAGCTTCAACTCAATTTTAAATAACTTCACCTGTGCTAATATTGATGATGCTCAGAAAGTCTCTAGTATGAGAATGAGAAAGTAGGGGAAGATGATTTTTAGCTTCTCAGAAGTTCCTTGCCTGGGAAAGTAGGTTTTTAGCTTTGAGTAAATTTAGGACTAGTCAAACTCAGGGCAAAGGGCAGATAAGTCGGTCCGTGACAACAGAACTAAGGATAAGTTTCAAGCAGGCACCCACTATTGGATAGATCTCGCACTTCCTGGAAGCTTCAACTGTAGCACTCTGTAACAGAACTGATTCAAGACTGCTAGAGCCCTTACACCGTGCCCTCTGATTTCCCTAATTTATTTTTAGGATCTTTGGCATTGGTTCTTTTTTTGACGTGGTCTTTGGCAGGTCTCTAGCTCCCACACCTTGGCTCAGCTGGAGGTTTGTGAGCTTTCATGCTATGAAAAAACACCTGAAAAAGTCAACTTAAAAGGAGGAAAAATTTATTTTGACTCATAATTTTAAGTCCATGGTTGGCTGGCTTCATTGCTTCATTGTAAAAAAGAGACTATCGTGGAAGAGGATGTGTGGTAGAATAAAACTGCTCATCTCATAGCAAATGGGCAACAAACAGAAAAAGGAAAGAGTCAAGGATCCAGTATACCACTTAAGGGCACTCCCCAATGGCCTACTTCCTCTAACCAGGTCCTACTTCTGAAGTTTCCACTACCTCCCCATAATGCCATCGCTTTTTTTTTTTTTTTTTAGGAGGGGAATATTTAAGATTCAAACCCTAACAGCTGTTCTTCTAAGATATCTGTCTCAGATCTCATCCATAATTAGGCACGTTAGTCTGAGGGCAAATCAAACATCTTCCTACTAATCCTTTGAAGTAATATCCTACTCCAATCTATCTCTGAAGCCTGTGTGGTACAGAGGATTAAACCCAGGGTTGCACATAGCTTGGTGAGGGCTCTACCACCCAACCCCCAGCCCACTTTTTTTGTTTTTGGTGTTTTACTTTTTATCCTTGAGATTCTAATGGTGATTAGTTACCATCTAAACGGGAAGCTATGGTTTGCAATAATCTATTTGTAGATGCTTAGACAGAGCTCAGTCCTCTTTAACTGTGAGACATGCTGCCCTCTTTATCTCCACAGCTTTGGGACTGATTGGGGAAGTGAATCCCCAGGTGGCTGATCTCCTGCTCTGGGCTGTCCACTACGAAGAATCACCAGGTGTACGAGTAGAAGCCTGCCGTAGCATCCTGGCCCTCAAACTTCAAGGGGACAGGGTCAGGGACACCTTTCTAGATGTGTTGCTTCTGGAGAACCATGAGGCTGTTCTCAAGTGAGCACTCAACTCTCTAGTACCTGCCATGACCTCTTGAATGGCCTACTTGTTCACTAAATCTATTCCTGCCTTTCTAGGGTCCTAGTAGGAGTAGGTAATGACCCACTGTGCCATTCACCTCCCTACCCAAATAGGTGACAAAAAAAACAGCCCATAATTAGATGGCCAAACTCATGCAGTTTGTGTGCTGTCCATTGCCCCCACCCCCAGCTGGTTTTTGAGTACTGTGCTCATATAGCGCACTAAATTTATCAAGTACCATTTTGACAAAAGGCTTTACAGTAAAAAACTCTGGTGTTTGAATTCCAGCTCCATCTCAGAATAGTTACGTGAGCCTGGGGAAGCACCTAAACTGTTTGCCTATTCTTTTTTTTTCTTCCAAGTATCAAATGGCAGATGACAGTCTATATAACACAGCTGCAGTGACAATAAGATGACATTTAGTATCATAAAGAAGTTCAATAAATGATGCCTATTAGTACTTCATATATAGCATTTCAAAAACTGCACAATATCCCTCAAAGGTTCAGCAAAACTGGAGTTAGGAGTCTTACTTAATTCCAAGTCCTGTATTTTCTACTCCTGTGCTTTTTTTAAGGGCAAAGTAGAACAATCTAAGAAGTCCTTCTTCTCTTTCAGCGAAATTTACCAAGCAATGAAGATACTCAACTTAGGAAATGAAGAAAACCAAGAAATGGTTCAGGAAGTCAAGAACAGGGTCAGTTAGTATGAGTGTTTTTAAGAGAAAATTCAGGGCTCTTGAGAGTTCCTCAGATCCTTTTTATTCCTAGGCATATATATGCCCTTTCCCTATCACAGAAATACTTCTCAACACCAAACACAGATATATATTGTATGAAGATACAAAACATCTGTGCAAGTTGGGTTTATAAAATCCTGTATGAAGACAAAACAAAAATTAATAGTCCTTATCAAGTAACCCTCAGAGGATTTACATGTGTTGCTTTTTAAATACCATCTCTTTCCCATTGTTTTTTCCCCATCATTCCTTAAATCCAAGTTTTTCTTCCTTTTTTCCATATGGGGATAAAAAAGGAATCAGAGATTAAACCTAGCTCCTTAGATTTTCTTTTTCCTTCTCAATTTTTCTCAATACCTAATGTGGCAAATTTTACCAACACAACTCTCTAACTGAAAGGGTTGTTTTACTTTTTCAAAGCTGTTACATGAGATGAAGGAATAGAACTTAAAAATGATAACTCACAAAACCATCTTCGCACCAAGCAGGTATTTCTTAGCAGATTCCTTTCATCGTGATCAAATAGCTAAAGTAAAATTTCAATAGCAGGTGTAAAAAAACCTCCAGCCAATATTTAAGGCATCCATATAGCACCTAACACTGATAAGCGTAATAACAATGTTACTTTATTAATGCTTTTTGATAATTTGCTATCTACAATTTTTTTTAACATTTATTTTAATCTAGATTAAAACACTGAACCAAAAGGACTTGTTAACACAGAAAATACTCAAAATTGAGAGGGTCACAGCAAAAGTGAAAGAAGCAGCAAAACGTGTTTACTCACAACCTAAAGAGGGACAAAAACCATTGAAACTCCATACTTTTCTCCAAGAAACTTTTCAGGGTAGGTTTCCTAAGGGTGAATGCTATGCCTTAACTCCTTTTTTTTTTTTTAAAGACAGGGTCTTGCTTTGTAGTTCAGGCTGGCCTCAAATTCTGGCAATTCTCCTATCTCAGACTCCCTGTGCTATGCCTAACTGCCCTGACTCTTTAATAAACCTATTCCAGGATATAGATTTGAGACTCAGTGGACAGTCTCAGAGGATGAGTCAAGAAAGGCTACTTCCTTTTCTTCTTGGTTACCATCTGCTTGGTTTTATCATACCCACCACCACCTCTACCAGGTTTATTCATTTACTATTTTTGCCTCCTTCAGAAAAGGTAGCTCTACTCAGATTGAAAAGTTAGGTCAAAAAAGGACATATTAGAAAAAGCACAAGTCTCTGTAAGACAAAACAAAAACTGTACATTTGATTCAGAACCATAAAAGGTCTCAGAAGAGGGATCAGAGAGAGAGCTATCATTTTTATTTATGTTTATCTTTTGTAAATTGTGTGTGTGTGTGTGTGCTGTGCTGGGGATTAAACCTGGGGTTTGCACATACCAGACAAATACTTTTAGTCACACCCCAACTGCTTTTGTAATTTTGTTGAGAGAGCATCTCGCTTCGTAGTTTAGACTGATCTTGAACTTGCAGCTGTACCCCTGCCTCAGTCTCTTGAGTGCTGGGATTACAAGTATGCACCACCATGCCAGCCTTGTAATTTTTTTAAAAAGACTTTCTAATAAAGTTTTCACCCTTAAGAAAACTGGTCTGTAGGCCAGGTATTTAGCTCAGTGGTTCTGCTGCCTGCCTTGCAAGTGCAAGGACCTGAGCTCGATCCCCAGTACCAAAAAACAAACAAACAAACAAAACAAAACAAAACAAAACAAAACAAACCCACAAAAAAATAACTGGGCCTATCAGTTATGCCAACAGGTTTTTAAGAGTCCTACATACAACCTAAATGATGAGAAATTAAGTTGTACCAAAATAATACTTACAAAATCTGCATGCCCAAGTGTAGCAGCAGCCTCAGGTCACTCAGCCAGCTGCCTACCAGCCACCACCCCAAACCCAGGTCTTCTGGTTCCAATTCCAAGTGCTCTTTCTGGTACATCAGGCTCTTTTCCACCAACCATGAGAATATTCACTTGCCAGATTTGGGGAAGTTTCTTCCAACTGCCAGGAAAAAATGAGAGTGGAAAGTAACTTGAACACCAGCCTTCCCTTAGCTTCCGAAAAGTTGGCTGACTAAAACCTCTGACAGCACAACTAACAGGCTGCTCCTTTGGCAACAATGCTGGATAATAAGCGAAATACATGATCTACCCCTGAGGTTAACCCCAGCCCTCTCCTTTCAAGTTGATTAATATGCTTTTTTGACATCCTACCACTTCAAATTGTTTTTCAACCCTCCTGCATTTCTTCAAACCAACCCACATAATTATCTTAGAAAAGAGAAACATTCTTTGGCACTTTAATAGCTAATACAAACTTATTAACAAACATGATACTGAGCCCAGTCCTCTCCCCAAACTGATGAAAGAGAACTCAAATGAAAGAAACAACTTGTCTTAATGTCTTAAGCAAAGTGACAAAACCAGTGCTCACAGTACAGCCTAACAGGAATGAAGCCGGTGCTCTGAAATGATCAAGGTCACTTCTGCAGAGATAGCTCTTCTGTTTTCCTCCTCTAACTTCTTTTACTTTTGTACCTAGATGAGGTGGTTCTTCCCAGAAGACCGTCTGAGGTTTGTGACATTGAAGAAGTCATAAAGGTAAATGTGACCATATTGATGATGGTTATCAAGGTAAGAATAGGAATTAAAAACAAAACCAAAATGAAGGTGGTGGTAATGTTGAATCACTACTGTCTTGTTTCCAGCAATCAACAAGAAACTAATTTTGAGCTAGAGGCACCTTGGTGAGTAGCAGCCCCTTATCATATAGCATGGTTGCCAAGGAAAGTTGTTCCTCCACACTGTCACAGGGTAGGTCCCCTATTCTCACAAACTCTGGGTAGGAGCGAAGCAAGAATTCCATGGCATCAGCTTGCTGGGGGTATATTTCCAAGCACTTGGGTTCCTCCAAATGATAAACACGAGAATTTTCCACAGTGTAATAGAGAAACAACTGGCCCCCCTCCCCTACCAGCCGAGCTATCCCATCCTGCAACATGTGGACTTCTGTTTCTGTTGTCAACTGGGCACCCACATTTACTGGTTCTCCAGCCTCCCATCGAATTGGGAGCCCGTAAACACTGAGTGCCCTCTCCCTATCAGTCAACACTGGCGGCAGAGAATCGTGGATGAAGTCTTTGGCTCGCTGGTCAGCCACAGCATCAACAGGTGCAAAGTGTCCAAGGCGGGCCACCAAGACCCGTACCTTCTCCATGAAGGCAGTTCTTCGTGGATCCTTAGAATCTGAATGCTGGGCCCCCATGTAGTCCATGAAGTCTCGGGGCAGACCCCTCCGAAACTCCACGTTTTCTTCCATTGCAGCCTGCACAGCCAGGGGCAGAATGGCCTCCAGGAAGTCGCCCCAGGTATTGCGCTGATATGTGGACAATGTGATGTGCAGAGAGTGCACCCCATCCTGGCATTCAGCTTGGTGAATGAAGCCCCGGGGAAAATATAGCAAGTCCCCAGGTTCCAGCACGGTCTGCAGCACCGGCTCACCAAGGTCCTCCTGGCTGAAGTTGGGGCTAGATGTCAGAGCCAGTTCTTCGCCAGGGACCCGGGGTCGGTAGACACGCCAGAGTTTCCTACCTTCCAGCTGCAGCACGAAAGCCTCGATGTCGTCGTAGTGGGGCGCAAAGCCCTGCGAGTTGGGGGGCGTGAGGTAAACGTTGGAGCCTGCCATGCTTCCAAACTGCTCCTGGAGCACAGCCAAAAACTGCCACACGGTGGTGGAGAAAGCTTGCGGACACAGGAGACGCAAAGAGCAGCCGGCCTGGTACAGCGACCACGCGGCGGCGGGCAGCGCGCGGCCGGGTGGGTTCAGGGTCTCGCGCCTCCCGTTGACGTAACGCGCAGCATCCAGGTGCTGCCCAAACTGCACTTCTTCGTTGCGCAAGATCGAGTCCAGGTCCGAAGTAGAGAAAAGGCCCCGGTAGTAGGCGGGGTCCTGCCGCCGTATCAGCACCGCCTCCCTCTCCCAAAGGCGCCGGTAGAAATGGTCGGGCGGCATGGGCGCGATGAGCCACTCAAAGAGGCACGCCGCTCGGCGCCGGCTGCTGGGGATGCGGTTCAGCTCCGCCAAGATGCGCTGAAGCGGGGAGTCCCAGGGCAGCTCCCGACCAGCATTATCCACCTGCGGCGCGGAGTTCGCCGAGGGCTGCGGAATGCACGGCAGGGCTGAGGCATCCAGTGTGCGGGCTGGAGCAGCAGGCACCTCAACCACGCGCGCCGGCGGGGTCTGCATGGAGCGCGCCGCGGGCGAGGCCTCCCGCAGCTCCGGAATGGCAGCCGCGACACCAGGTCGCGCGGCCCCCAGATCGTCCGCCGTCGTCTGCACCCTCGAGTCCTCCGAGTCCTCCCTCGGCAGAGCCTGAGCTCTGACCGCGGCCATGCGGTATGCGATACTTCTCCTCAGCTGCCTTCGGATCTTCCTGGGCCTCAAGGGCAGGGCCAAGACCGACCCGCTGTGTGGCTGGGGCGGGCGCCGGCGCCTCAGCCGCCCGCGCCTTAACCCAGCACTAGGCCAAAGCGCCTCCATAGCAGGGCTGTCTTCCATGGCTGGAGGGTCACGTGGGTGAAAGAAGCTCAAGGTGGCGGTGGCAGCGGTGCACTCTGGGAAGGGGGCGCGGTCTCCAGCCGGCTCACGTTGGGCCACGCCCACTACCCTGTCTACCTTCCTCCCTACGCTCGCAGAGTAACGTAAAAAACTCTCGACCTCTCACTAGAGAGGAAGGGTCCCTGCTAAACAAATTAACAAAGCTTACGTATTCAGAAAGCAATTTAAAAGTCAAGTTTCTGGGCACTCCAGAAAAAGGACAATCGGACATTCACTTCTTTTTTCCTTCTATTCTGAGTATTGTGTTCTTCCTGACGTCCACTTTTTGCGGAGACAGAACGCTCTCCAGCCACTTCTCCCAGAGAGGGCACAATTCTTTTCAAGGAACGCCCTCAGAGATCGAGATTCTACACAAATCCCAGGTCCAACCACTCCTTTTTACTTTGGTAATACTAACTTCACTGAATGAAGCCCTAACAAGTCTTCCATCTAACTTCCCTTCCTTTCAAATCCTGAGTCCACACACCCCATCCTGCAACAGGGATTGAACCCTGAGGGGGCTGAACTACATGTCCAGCCCGGTTTATTGTTTTGAGACAGGGCCTTACTAGATCCCCCAAATTAGCCTTGGATTTGCCGTTCTCCTGTGCCTTAGTAGTTGGGATTAATGATGTGCACCACCACACCTGACCCTGTGTGCATTCTTTTTTTTTTTTTCAGCTTTAATTGAGTTTATTGGTACATTCTAGGGATACAGTACAGTTACATTCATTGTTGGGATCTTGTACCTCTACATGACAAGTCTTGATTCTCATTTTTTCCCCTTACCGCTGCCCTCCCTTCACCCCCTCCTCCCCTCCCCATCTACAAACACTTTATTTTCATCTTTTCATTATCTCACATTTTTTTCTTTTCCCTTATTACCCTTCCCCTACCCATCCCACCTTCCCTACACCTTTAGCTCCTTTCTTCCCATTTCTAAATGTCAGTAATCTTATTAGGATCTTATGTATTATTGCAGATTATTCTTGATAAGTGCCCTTTGCTCTTACCTGAGTATTTGCTTCATTAGCTACAACTTCTCTCTGGGAATAGACTTTCTAAAATCTGGGCCTTTCATTTAACAAGCAATATGATAGACATAAGGGTATAATTATTGAGAACAAAGTCACTTGTTTTCATTTACCTATTGTTGCTTTATACAGAAGCATTGTTTATCTTTATTTAAACTAAGAGAAATTCCCAGAAAAAGCATTGCTGAGTCAAAGGACAAGATAATTTTTGTGATGATTAATAGGTTTTTCCAACTGTCCTTCAAATGGATTTACCAAGTTGCTCTTCAAGAGTAGGTTGAGGTTGCCGGTCATGGTAGCGCACGCCTGTAATCCTAGCACTTGGGAGGCTGAGGCAGGGGGATCGCTGTAAGTTCAAAACCAGTCTGGGCTACATAGTGAGTTCCAGGTCAGCCTCAACTACGTAGTGAGACCCTATCTCAAAAAAAAAAAAAAAAAAGAGTAGGTTGAGGTGGGGCCCGGGATTTGCTGCTTGCCTCGCAAGCACAAGGGCCCAAGTTTGATCCTCAGTACAAAAAAACATTTTTTTTAAAACCCACTAAGAATAGGTTGACTATATCTCTAGCAATTTTAAGCATATTCTTCCTTTGTTTGGTTTTGCTTTTTGAGACAGAATCTTACTATGTAGCTCAGGCTGGCCTCAAACTCATGATCCTTTTGCCTCAGCTTCCTGAACACTAAGAATACAGGCATGTGTGCCACCACTCCCAGCTAATTATAGGCATATTAGACTACATGGCCTCTAGTACCTTTTCTGTGATTCTGTTTGAGTTTACATTGCTCCCTTCCTCAGTCACACTCCTATCTAAACACTTGGCAGTGCTTTTAGATTTCCCCCTACCTCTGCCTAGCATTCACCTTTTCATCTTTATTTCTGACATGGTCTATTACATGATTCTCAACTGGATGCAGTTTTGCCTCCCTAGGGGTATTGTCAATGTCATATGGGGGAAGGGAGTTTTTAACATCTGGTGAGAAGAGACTAGAAGCGCTGCTAAGTATCCCACAAGGCAAAGAAAACTCCCTACTACTAACAATTACATGACTCAAAAAGGTCAATAATAGTGGTGGGGCTGAGAAGTCCTATTAGCTTCCCAAATAGTCTCTACTCTCGCCTATGCTAATTTATACTACAGGAAGCTACCAGATTACTTTTCTCAAATTATGTCCCTAAACTTGTCACTATCATAGTTGAAACCCATGTGCCCATTGAGTTCTCCAGGCCCCCCTAATTCATATCAGAGTCACATAATGTTATATACTCCTTATCAGCCTAAACTCTACTGCTACAAGCTGGACTACTTGCTGTTCTTTTCCTATGCTGTTGTCCTCCATATAGTCCCTCATGATGTTCTCTCGTAATGGCAATTTATATTGATGGTAATCATATCGGAGAAGGCCATTTTGTAAGGTTGTGCCTGTTTAGTTCTGCTGAAAGACTAGTTCCTAGCCAAGGGGCAGAGATGGGGCTTAAGCCAACTGTCATGGTTTGAACTGAGAATGTCCTCCAAAAACTCATGTGTTGAAGACTTGGTTCCCATTGAAGCAATGTTCAGAGGCAGGCGGGGCCTTGGGAAGGTGATTGGATCATGAGGCCTTTGACTCCATCAATGGATTAATCTATTGATGGGTTCATAATTCAGTAGGCTATTGGAAGATGATGGGAACTTTAGGAGGTGGCCTAGTTGGAGAAAGTAAGTCCTTGGAGTGGGTCTTTGAAAAGTGTATCAAGTCCTCAGTCACTTCCTGTCTCTCCCCCACTTTCTTCTCCCCTCCCTCCCTCTCTCCTTCCCAGATGTCATGAGGTGAGCACTTCTGCTCCCCCCCTGCTCTCCTCACTGTGACATTGTGCCTCTCAGAGGCCCAAAGCAATGAGACCAAGTGACCATGGACTGAAAGCATGAGCTGAATAACTCTTTCCTCCTTTTAGGTTGTTTTTCTCAGGTATTTTGTCATAGCAACAGAAAGTT